CACAGGGGAATCAGGGGGGCAGGTGGGGTCTGTGGGAGATTGGTGAAGTCAAAGAGGGTTTGACAGGATCTGGGGGACTCACAGGGTCTGCAGGGATTTTGGAGGGATGAGGGACTCTCTTGCCTATCCCCCAGGCTCAGAGGCTATTTTTAGCCTCCCCAACCTATCCCCACCAGGACTTACTTAACCTCCCCCTAACATCCACAAATGTCTGTACAAACCCTTACATATTTAAGTGCCTGACTCACTTTATGAATTAGGCATTAGGGCTGTGCGAAACAGCACCATTCCATTTTGACCAGCATTTTGACAGAACAGCATTTCATTTCAAATTTTGTTTAAATTTGAAACAGCTGTTCCATTCCATTCCATCGAAACAGGGTCGAAACGGCGAAACTGTTTAGATGTTTCACTCATAGGATATAACGGAGAAGGTCAAAACAGCCTATAACTTTGTCATTGGTGGCCTGATTTGGATGAAACTTTAGGAATGATAGCCCCTTCTGAGGGCATGGAGTCTGCCAAGTTTCAAGGAGATAGGTGTAGGGGGTTCGGAGAAAATGCACCCCAAAATCTTATAGTTTCATAGTAGCTAGGGTCAGGAGGGACCTGAACAGATCATCTAGCCTGACCCCCTGCCACAGACAGGAATGAATGCTGGGTTCACAAGACCCCAGACAGGTGATCGTCCAACCTCCTCTTGAATTTGCCCAAGGTAGGGGTGAGGACCACCTCCCTGGGAAGTTGGTTCCAGATTTTGGCCACCCTAACTGTAACTGTAAAATATTGCCTTCTGATCTCTAACCTAAACCTATTCTCCATCAGCTTATTCATCAAGTTTTGAAAGCAAAACTTGTGTCACATGTATGTGTTAAGCCACAGCAGGGTCAAAATTGCAGACATGCTACCCCCTGCTGAGGCCACAAAACCTGCCAGGTTTCAAGGAGATAGGTGCAGGGGTTTGAGGAAAACTGCACCTCGCGCTGCAGACAAACAAAACTCGTGACATGGGTGACACTGCGTGTGTTAAGGTGCAGCAGGGTGAAAGCTGCAGGCCTGCTAGCCCCTGCTGAGGCCATGAAGACTGACAGCTTTCAAGGAGATAGATGCAGAGGTTCTGGGCCCCTGCACCTCTAGCTGCTGACAGGCAAAAGTTGTGTCATGGGTGCTTGTGCAACTGTGTCTGTCTTGGAGCACAGGGGGGAGATTACTGCAGGGCTGGCTGCTAGGCCCTGCTGCGGACGTGAAGCCTGCCAGCTGTCAAGGAGATTGGTGTCGGGGGGGTCTGGGGCCCTGCACCCCTAGCTGCTTGCAGTCAAAACTCATGACATGGGTGCATGTGCAACTGCTGCCTCTCAGGCAGCAGGACTGAAGATCCCCATCACTTGCCACCACAGACCTGGGGTTAATAATTGACCACAGTATGAACCTGAGGTGGCAACACGATGCTGTAGCCAGCAGGGCCAACAATACCCTGGCAGGTAATACATATATTTGACTTACCCAAGTCTTGCATTTATGCAAATTAATATTAGCGCCCAAGCAGAAAAATACACCCCGAGATGCGCGTCATTCACGTATATACGCGAGATGCGCAGACTGAGACAAACAGTTACATGCAGCTTGGGTTCTCAAGCAGGATTCAGGATTCAGCCTCAGTGTCACTGTTGTGTTCAAGATGAGTGCTTCCAATACTGATTCTACAAGTGCTTCCACCTCTACAGGGAAAAGGAAAGCTATAACTTTGGAAGAAAAACTTGAAGTTGTGAAGAGATATGAAAGAGGTGAGAAGACAAAGGAAAATAGGTGTGCTACAGGGCTCAGTGAGTCAATTCTCCGTACAATTAGGGACAATGCAGAGAAAATTAAGGAGTCCTGTAAGAGTGCTACACTTTTATCTACTGCCCGTGTTCATTAACAAGGTCGGCCATCTTGGAGAAAATGGAACACAAGTTGACAACATGGATTGAGCACCAGAATCAAGAATATGTGGAACTTTCGACCCAGGTGATTCAAGCAAAAGCATGCAGTATTTATGAAATGTTAAAGTGTGATGATCCTGAAGCCAAACCATTTAATGCAAGTGCTGGATGGTTTGATAGATTTAAAGCACGCCATGAATTTCATAATCTCAAACTGATGGGTGAAGCAGCAGCTGCTGATAAAAGTGCTGCAGATAAATTTCCTTCAATCCTACAGGCTGCCATTGAGAAGGGAAGCTATGATCCGAGGCAAGTTTTCAACTTGGACGAAACCAGACTCTTCTGGAAACAGATGCTACATTTGGAGTTGAGGGCTTATTGTGACAGGTAAAATCTACCTTTCAAAATTCTACTGTGTCTCATTGATAATGCTCCAGGACACCCCCAAGCCTTGGTGACCTCAGTGAGAACATTAAGGTGCTGTTCTTGCCACCGAACACAGCATATCTCATCTAGCCCATGGATTTGGGTGTTATTCAAACTTTCAAAAGTTATCATCTACAGAAGACCTTCAAGAAGCTTATCAATGAGGCAGAGTCAAAAGAAAAGGCAAATGTCAAAGAATTTTGAAAGGCATTTAACATCAAGATGGCCATAGACATCATCGGAGACTCCTGGAATTATGTTACGCAGCAGTGCCTTAATGGTGTCTGGAAAAATATCTGGCCTGCTATTGTGAATGATTTCTGAGGCTTTGCCACTGACGAATTTATCAGTGATGCAAGGCATGAGATCACTGAGATGGATAAGAGGGTGGACTTTGAGCAGGTCAACGAGGGAAGTGTGGCTGAGCTGCTCGATTCCCATAGGAAGGAACTCTCAAATGAGGATCTTCTTGAGCTGGATGGGGAGTGCCATGAAGAGGATGAGCCCATGGAAGAAAATGAAAGGCCCTTTCCCCTAGTTCTCATGATGAAAGGTCTGGCTGATGTGTTCAAACTTTTGGATGGTCACTTAGCCTTCTTTGATGAAAATGACCCCAATTGTGAAAGAAGTGGTAAGGTTGCCAGGCTGAAGAAGGAAACCAATGCCTGCTACATGGAGCTTTACAGGGAGAAGCAGCACTGCTCAGTGCAGTCTTCCTTGGACAAGTTCTTCAGGAAGTATTACAGCACCATATCAACTCAATCAACTGACTCTCAGCCCTCCACTTCTGGGGGATACCCAGTCATTTCTGGGGGAGAGATATCACCACCATCTTTGATGTGTTCAACCTGGATGAAGACTTGGCTCCCCATTAATGGATGGATTGAAGATTGTTGCATGTCCATTTTGTATTTTTTTATTTTGCTTATAATGTAAATGAATAAATAGGTTTACAATACATTTTTGTAACATAATAAATAAAGTATTGGTTGGGAAAGGTTGTATTTGGTGCCTTTCATGTCATAAATGTGAGGTCCAAGGAACGCAACCCCTCACTTTTCTATTATTTCCTATGGGAAAATTCACCCCAAGTTGCAAGAATTTGTGACATGCGAGGTTTCTCAGGAACACAATATACGCAACATACACGGAATATAAGTCGGGATTCTACTGTATCCCATACTTAGGTGTTTAATTTTCCCTAGCATTGTGTAGAGAATTCCAGTAAATGGCAATGAACTCAAAGTTAGGCACTGTAGTGTTCAGTGGGTGCATCTACAAGAGATGTTTACTGTACGGTAGCCTAATTAGCTGTGCAGTAAATGTCATGCATCTACATGTGCACCCCTATTAAGATGGAGTAAACTAATTTTCTCTGTAAATACAAGTACTATCTTGCTGCAGAGTTTTTACTCCATAGCAGTGTACATGTAGATGCTTCCCCAGCTGTTTGGAGCACAAGGTGCTTCACTGTGTAGGCTGCCTGCTGGCTAGCCCCATGCTGTGACACCCTTGTGCTCCAGCCAGCCCCTTTGCAGCACGTTGGATCAGAGGGGAGCAGCCCTGGGCTGGCAGGCTAACCCTTGGGCCCCTTGCCAGCTGGGGCTGCTCAGACCCAGCTCAACATGCTGCAATCCCAGGCACATGTGTGCACAGGAGCACTACAGTCTGGTGCAATAAGCCCCAGAGTTTATTGCAGTGCATTAATGTGCATGTATAGACATGCCCAGCGTTGCAAAAGATAAGTCCATTTGTGGATCTAGTCTTTGGATTATTCACAGTATCCATTTGTGGATTATTCCTTTTATGTTGTGCTTTACGAATTTCCAGTTATGCTGGAGAATGGGATATTTGGTTCTCAAGATAGATATGGGAGAGCTCTGTTGTCCTTGTACTTTTATTTCTCTTGATACTTTGCTTAGTTTTAAAATTTATAAAAATAACCCCGGGGGGCAAAGTTTCAAATGTACAAATGATTTGGGATGCCCAACTTGAGACACCTTGAAGAAACCTACTTTGTACAGAGTGGGGAATATCAGGCCTCTGCAAACTTGGGCACCCAACAACAAAAGTACTTAAAAACAACAGTTGTGTCTGAAAATCTCAGTCTCTAGATTCATGTGGTATAAACAAATATAATATGACATATGTACAACAATCAGTGTCAGCTGAAAGCAACAGTTTCCCCAATTTCAAAAATAATTTGGACTTCAATCTGCCCTTCCAAGAAAAACATTTGGAACAAACCTTGAGAGTTAAAAAAAAATAAAACTTCTAGTTATATCTAAGCAAGAACCAGTGCTGAGCAAGAATTGGGAGTTTCCATTCCACAGTATATTCTTGTCTCAAAAACAGGAAGACATCTCAAAATACTGGGGTTTATTCACAAAATGAAAAGATTCCTACTGATGTTTTTGGAACTGTTCAAAACATTCTCTTTCTGGGTTTTGAACTGAATTGAAAATGCTCTGTTTCATCTTAGTCAGCCATAAAACTGAAGTTGTCTCAGATTTGTCAGTGCTTCATGAAACTCTCAGTTCACCTGCCTCATGCCCTGAGGATTTTTTCCCTGGGCATTGGGATTCCTAACTGGAATACATCTCTCCCATAAGGAATTTCAGTTACTTGACTCCCTAGTTGCCTTGGAAAGCTCTTTCAGGAGAAGGGGAGAGGGAGGAGATTCCATTATAATATAAGGCTGCCTATACACATGCTTAAGGGCAAGGGTGTTTTAATTAGAGTAGTTCCCAGACAGCCACTTTAAAACAGCTCTCAGTCACATGTATTAAGCCCCTGCACATTTCAAAATGGCTGTGGAACACTTTAAAGCTCATTCAGCAAGGTTTAGATAAAGTGCCCCTTCAGCTATTTTGAAAGGCATGGAAGCTTAAAACATGTGATGGTGAGGCAATGCTGGAGCGTTCTAATTAGCAAGTGGAACATTTCTCTAATTAGAACATGAATAAGTATGTCTATAGGCAGTCAAATAGCCAAGGAACCAGCTCGTTGGAGAGAACAGGGGCAAGAAGTTCTCATGAAGCACCATAGAGCTTTAGCCAGATGCAACTGAATGTCTAACTGATCCCAAGCCCAGGGCTGAGGCGAGTCCCAAGGAAGGGGTACAGGCAATAAAACCTGGAGTTTATTGCCATTTGAACATGCCCCCTGGAGCACAGCACATTGAGCCAAATTGGAGCAGCCGCAGCTGGCAGGAGACCCAGGGGGTTAGCCTGCTAGCACAGGGGTGCTCTCCCCAGCTCACTGTACAGGGGGGCTGGCTGGGGCATGAGGATGTTCAGTTCAGGGCTAGCTGACAGGTAGCCCCTGCACTGAAGCACCCTCATGTCCCGGCCAGCCAGGGCAGTGTTTATATGTGCACTGCTGCAGAGTAAATTAGCTTACTCCAGTCTAATAGGGGCACATGTGTAGACGCCAAGAAGTTTACTGTGAGGCTAATTAATCTACTGTGCAATAAATGTCTTGTGTAGACATGTCTGCCATGTAGCAGAAGGTGAAAACCCATGCGTTGCCTTAACAAAACTAAGCTGCAGTTAGCTATGCAAGCTGCATTCTTTTCTGGAGCCTGAAAGTAATTCATTCTACCTGGAAAAGCAATGTAAGTGTGAGTGTTATCAGCATAGTGATGATACCACAGTTTCCTAATACCGTAATCACGCTTTATACTATTTTATGTGAGGTAAGGATTTTATTTGTAATATCTTTTATTGGACCAACTGTATAGTTGAGAGAGCTGCTGGACAAGCTTCTGGCAGTAAGTGCCTTCCTCAGATCTAAGAAAGAGGCAGTTTTTCCTTTGTTATCTTACTAGGTCAGATTTTTGAATGGTATAAACCAACACAGCTAAATTGAAGTCAATGGGTCCATCTTATTTTATACTTGCTGAACATCTGGCTCAGATTGAAGATGCTGATGTTCAAAATTCTTTCGTAGGGTTTAGTATAAGCAAGAGGGCATGTTGGACAAAATGATTGTCTTGCTAAAGAATGCATTATCAATAAACGGAGATCAAACCTATTTTTTCCTGCTAAATGTACACCTTTTTGGGACCAGTTTGATTTTCATTATTTATTACCTCTGATGTGATTTTTTTATCTGAGCTCTGGATTATGTCTTGATTTTTCTTTTGTTTCCCTTGTCTAGGATTCCCCTGCCCTACAATGTGAAGAACATTTTGTTTGAAGACACCTGTGCTTACTTCCAAGTCACATCCAAGCTGGGCCTGACTCTCAAGTGGAACTGGGCTGACACTCTCTTAGTATGAAGATCCAGTTAGTTGGTTTTCTTTTAGTGAATCTTAGTGTCCCTGATAGATGCTATCTTGACAGCCCTTGAAACAGTTACTCTGTAGTTATCTGCTCCTAGGTGCAGCACAGTCAGTGCCCAATGCTAGTTTTCCCCACATTATCCCATTCAAGTGCCTCAGACCTGTATATGAGGGAACTGTACAGGGCTAGGGGTGAAACGATAGTTTTGTCTTTATGGCCTATTGAATCCTTGTTGTCTCTTTTTATGGGACTGTAAACAAATTCAGGGGTGGTGGGGTTATTCTACCTTTCTACCTTGAATATGCGTATCACTATAATACTGAACTGTCAGTTTCGTTGTGTAAATAGTTCCACTAGGATCGTGAATAAGAATACTATATCTTCTTGCGTACCACATGCCCCCAAATAAGATATACACCTGGTTTTTGGTAATGCAGAAAAAAGGGGAAAAAAATGTTTCCAGAGTTCTGGCCACATGGAGCACAGATAGATATAGCTTAATCTGCAGCTGACTTACCTTCCCTTTCCTCGTCAGACAAAACCAACATTTTTAACTCTCTTGGCTACTTTTAATTAGCAGCAGCTCTTGGTTGCTCAGCCAAAGGTCACAGCCAACTCTGCAGCTACTGTGAAAAGGTTAAAACTAGCTGCTGCTGAAAACTAGAATTCATCCTTTTTTCCATGAGATCAGCTCAGGGAGAGAATAGGAAAAGAAGCAGCAGCCATTTTACAATGTCTTCATGGTTCTATTCCAGGCAGAAGATCAGTTTTCCTTGTTAAAACATGCACCCACATTTTGAAGGGCTATTTTTTTTGAGCAGAAGATTTGTGTGGTGTGTGAGTAAATATGAGATTTCACATAGCCCCCCTTCACATGTGCAGGTAAAGACATGACTGTATCTAATGCATGAGCCACAAAATTGTGACTCCTGCCATGACACATGTGCATGACAGGAAGCATGATTATGGGTACGTGCATAGATTCAATTGCACCTTATTGCCAGTGCATGCAATAAGGCACATCAGCAAGAAGCAGGCTCCCATGACTGGGAGCTCCCTTTGCTGATGGGAGTCCCAGCTGTGGGGACCATGTGCAGCCATGACAGAGAGCCATCTCAGGTGTGGGACTCTCAGCCCCACAGCTGTAGAGCACTGTTGCAGTCTCCCAGCCATTGGGGTGCATGGAGTGCCCCGCAGCTGGGAAATCACAGCAGCTACGATCTCCTGGACACTGCCTGGAACAACCCCACACATCTGCTGCTGGGAGACTGCATTAGTTGCAATCTCCCAGTCCTGAGGTGTATTGTTCTCCCCAGAGTCTGGGAGACTGCAGCAGCTGTTGTCCCCCAGCTGCAGGGCTACCTGCATGTGCAAATTAAAGCTGGATAGAAACCAGCTATAAAGTTATTATACATTTTTAAAGCAATAACTCCATAGATGGTTGAGCTTTTTGAAGGCATGCTAGTTAATTTGCATGTGTAGACAATCTAAATGTATTGTTCAATTAACAAGGTAATTATTAATTGCATAATATCAAGTGATTATGCAATAGATATAACATGTTGAGGGGGCCATAGGTAAATATGTTAGAGTATTTTATTTCATGTAACAGTTCTCAGAGAGAGGGAGAGAGTATAGGGAACAGAGAAGAAAACCCTCCAAAAATTGAGAAATTAATCACCTCTGATATCCAGAAGCCAGATATCCAGATTCTTCATATTTAAAAAGAATATTAGATTCTGATTTAGTTACCTGTTGCTTGTCTCCACTGGTAACTCCTAGAAATGTTCTGAAATTTTCTCAGGTGTTGGTGGAGAGGATAAGCCAGTTAAGTGTCAAATTAATGTGGCCAGAATCTGATACCTCCAGGGTCTGCTGACTGGTAAACACTTTCAACTGGCCGTCAAGAGTAGGGCTATAATATCTTGACCTAGGCAGGAGGCAGAAGTGCACATTAAAATAGCTATATTATTGGTTCAGCTGTGCAATGTGTTTGTAATTAGCTGCTTAACCAGTTGGAACAATGAGTTAGAGGAGTATTGCCCCCCTTACATTGGGCCATTCTGCTAAGAAATATCATTGCACATTTATTACTAAACAGGGAAATATTACAAAGCACTGAACATGTAATTTATTTTAAAATTGTATTCTATTAATTTATTTGTTGAAGTCTACATGCATATTTTTCATCTGACACTTTTTTCCCCTTTTTATTGAGGATCATCTTCCCTTCCACACTGCATATACTTGAATTCATCAGGACAGTGTTAAAGATAACAGTCTGGATAAAGTACTCCCAATTATTTTCTTAGCATTTTGGTCTTACTTCAGCAGGTGTCTCATTAATCCTTTTTGTGCTCTGCATTTGTCAGGAGTTCCTTTTTTTAATTCAGCTATAGGAATGCAGAGTCAGTACCACAGCCTTTAGGCAATTTACACTGGGGTAAATCTCTACTGAAAATAGTGCAAAGATACCTGTAGAAAATTCCAAGCCAGTTATTGTTTTTAGATGAATTGTGTGAAATCAGACCTAATGCCACGGGAAATTTTTTTCACAATAGAAGCCATAAAACATTTTTTTTTCTTTTTCATACTGAACCAGTGAGTACCAGAGGTTATTGAGGGTAGAAAAAACTTTAACCTGTGATCGTCCTGTTTGTTCTCTTTCTTAGCTGGACTTAGAAGATACTTACAAAGGGAAAGTTTGTGGTCTGTGTGGGAATTTTGATGGCAATGGGAAGAATGATCTCTTTTTGAAGGGTAGGAACTGCATGTTATCTGTCTTCTATACACTAGAGCTATGTGAAGTCTGAATCATAACCTGAATACCATTTTCACTTGATTTGCAGATTTCAGGTTTGCTGAAAGACACTCTAAAGTCCATGCACATTTGCTAAACGCAGCGTGTGCTTTGAGCAAACCGGAATTAACGGACGATACTCAAGAATTTGGAAGCCTAAAATAGCATCTTTCAAACTTCAATGAACAAGTGTTAATGGTACAGATGTTATATTGTGGTACTGCTTAATTTCCTTCGAAAATTACCTCTTCTAGATGCATGCTGTCCTTTGGACATCTTTACATTTTCACCCACTTATAGTAAGATAATGACTATGATTTTGCATTTGTGTATTGTGAAGTCATTAATATTGATTTATACCACCTCCATTGAGCTGAAGTTTCTTACAGAAAACCTGGTTCCATCTCAACTGGCTGCCTCAGATATTTCTTCAAACTGGAAATAGATTAAGACAATATACAGCTTTGGCCTCTACCCCAGTACATGAAAATAAAGGGCAGCCTGTACCCCAGCATACATCCTGAAAAAGCTGTAGCAGAAGGAGCATTTTCATGCAAGCTGCCCTGGGTTCTGGATTTTTCCAAAAGTCAATATTACCTACCTCAGGCATTCAATAATCACGAGTCAGGATTCAAGGAATCAAGAGGGAAAAAAATCCCCCCATAAAAATCATAATAGATTTGGGGCTTGTTATATTTCTTTTTGGTTTTAAGCATTTACAAGGTGTCCTGGTCAATGTTTCCAGCTTTCCTTCACAGCAATCACAATGAGGAACAAAACCTGTTTTGAAAAATTTCTGATGGAGGAATTTTCTCTCAGTAAACACTGACTCCACAAAACTAAAGTGTAATTCGTATTAGGGACCTGACTCCTCAGATAGTCGGCTACCAGATTCCTGAAGCAGTAGCTCCCTGGCACCCCAGGCCACCGTGTTATCTGATCCCCAAACTACTCATGGAGCAAGGAAGTTGGCAATCTGGCTGCCTTCCTGATAGGGGACAAGGCAGCCCAGTAAAATTGGCAGGGAAAACCATCTAGGGTGTATACCTGTCATGATTTGGAGCTGGTGAGTCCAACAATTCAGTTTTGTTTCTACAAAAATGGAAATGTTCTCTCCTAAACATTCTGTGAAAAAATGAGATTTCCCTCCTTCTGCTTAGAACAAAAAAACCCACATTTTTTTCTTTTTGCAGGAGAAGTATCCCATTCCTGCATAGTGCTTTCAAAATCTCTATTTTTAAAATGGAAGTAGAGATGCTCATCAAATCACATGACTCCAGGAGCCAGGCTATAAAGATATAATTTAATACCACAAAATTCATAATGAAAGTATGAGAGTTGGTATCACTGAGGTCTCTGCCAGAGTTTTCCCTTTGCCATATCTGTGATGGAAACAAGCACAAATTACTACAAAAGGAGTTATGATTAACCTAAATTTAATGACTTGCAATTATTCCAGGGGCAATCAAGTGGTTAAGTCGTGTATTTTATTTGTAGGCCATATTATATAAGGCCTGAAGTAAGTTAGGGGATTGAATAGTATTGAAGAGAAGAGCCAGTCAGAAATTTTTCTGTGACATTTTTTCAATGGAAAATGTTAACATGTCAAAAAATCCTTAGAATGCACCAGTTTCAAGAAATACTTTTCCTTGAAAAATTCTAAAGTCCTGGATGAAATTTCTGGGGAAGTTATTTGAAAAATGTACACATTACATCAGAGAGGCACTTAAACCTATACAGCTTTTTAATACCAAAGACTTCTGATTGAGAGATTAAAGGACACTTTTGTTTCTTTTGGGTTTTTGTTTGTTTTCTGAAGTGCTCAGGTGCTCCCAATAAATGTATTTCAAAACCAAAGGGGGAATTCTATTAGTGTGTAACCTGCTGTGGTACAGATTTTTTCCTTGTATTAGATAATTTTGGTAAAGAAAATATTGCTCTAAAATAGGGGTGTCAAATTTGTCTGGCCCCATGGGCTGGATGAGCAGTGGGGGGCTGGTCCATGGGCTGGATCAGGCCCAGGGACCACCCCCATCTCTGTCTTCCCCTGCATGCTGGATCCATCTTGTGCTACACCTATTCTGGCTGCTCCATGATCTATGCCATATTCAGCGATCTCGTCAGCCAGTCCAAGACCCACACTGTCTGTGGACCAGCCAGGGCAGGCGGTGTGGATTCCACAGTGATTGGGATGGGTGCCATAAGCAGCATGCATCCTGGGCCCTGTCCATGGGGTTGGTTCGGCATGTGCTGCAAACAGCACATGGATGAACTCAGACCCAATGGCAACACCCAGGGTTGGATAACAGAGCTCCATGGGGTAGATCTGGCCCATGGGCTGTATCTTTGACACTGCTGCTCTAAAGCACAATGTTTTAACTTGTCCTCACAACGGACAAATGAAACAAAAAATGCAGTCTGGATCTGATTGGTATTCAGAAGGCTCTTGTGGATTTTATAGGTTACAAAATACACCCACGGCAGTTTGGAAACCTTCACAAAGTAGAAGAGCCAACAGAAATGTGTCCTGATGTAGCTGAAGATGAAGGAACAGATCAGTTTGACCACAAATACCAATGTCGTCAGTATGTAAGTGTGCCAGCCAGTGCTTTGGGAAATATAAACCTTTCTGAATTACAGTGATGTGAATTGTAAGGTTATGTTGGGGCAAATCTGTAACCAACATAAAAAGAATTAAAATTATTCCAGAATCCAGCCATGAATCTCAACTCAAAGCAAACCTAGACCTGAAAGAATTTGCTGTTACAGTGATACACAGCAGAAAAATGCACTTTAGTGAATAGAAGACACCACTCAAAAAAAGAGTAGCAAATGCTCATATCAAATGCACCACAGGCCATTTCTGTGACCTTTTTTTGAACATAGAACTGATCTTCATAGCTTCCTGGAACTCACTGAAGTCTGAGGATCAGGAGAAAAATGAAATTTAGATTATTTCTTTTCCTTTCTTTACAGAAAAAAAAATGTACGAAAATCATGTCCAGTTTTGGGAACTGTCAAAAAAAGGTTGCTTTTAATGACTACGTAGCAACCTGCGCTGAAGATATGTGCATCTGTACAAAGGAAGCTTCTGATTCTGGATCTGATTCTGATTTGAGTTTCAGCTGTATATGCAGCACTCTTAATCAATATTCTCGTGACTGTGTCCTCAAGGGGGCCAATCCTGGGAAATGGAGAACCAAAGAGCTTTGCTGTAAGTAATCATGAAGTTTGATTTTTTCCAAACAATTGGATTGGTACCAAAGAATAAGTTATATACCCTGAGCAGATTTTATAAGAGCAGGTAACAGCAGTGATTGTTTAAAATATATTGTATAAAAGGTTTGGGGGTGGGGGTAGGGGGAGAATTGTCTGAAATTACATGACTTTTTATAAAATTCTCTATTTAGAATTACTTGTTTACCGGTTAAATTAGTGAAGCATAAAAATAAAAAATGCGGTTCTTTACTTCAAGCCTTTGAATATGCCTCACTGACCTCACAGAGTATGGGAGGATATTTACTATACTAGTTGGGTGTAGTAAGTAAATTGATATAACACCTACGCCTGCTTCATCTCGGTTTGCAGACAAAGAGTGTCCAAACAACATGAAACATATGGAATGTGGAGATCCTTGTGCTGACACTTGTGCAGACCCAGAGAGGAGTAAGATTTGTAAAGCCCCATGTACAGATGGTTGCTTCTGTCCTGCTGGTAAAGTAACATTCTTTTTATAATAAGCACTACCGAACAGGAGGACAACAAGAGGAGATTTCACATAGAGGAAATGTTTTTCCTGCTCAGTAAAATTTTCTAAAATATTCTTGATATGCTGCTTACAAACAAGTAAGAATTGGTGGGGAATGTAGAAGTGGATGGCAATTTGTGCAGCAGCAACCATGAGATGACTGAGTTTAGGATCCTGAGGAAAGAAAGGAAGGAGAGCAGCAGAGTGAGGACCCTGGAGTTCAGAAAATCAGATTCTGATTCACTCAGGGAACAGATGGATAGAATCCTGTGGGAGGCCAGTCTAAGAGGGAAAGAAGTCCAGAAGAGCTGGGTGTAATTTAAAGAAACCTTACTGAGAGCACAGGAATGAACCATCCTGGCACGCAGGAAGAAAAGCAGCTATAGCAGAAGAACAGCTTAGCTTAGCAGGGAACTTTTCAATGAACTAAAACACAAAAAGGAAACTTACAAAAACTTGGACAAACTACACAGGATGAGTATACTACATGTGAAAGCACAATAGGAGAGGAGGAGGGGAGGAGGTGAGCATCCAGCATTGGCAGCAGAACAGGTTAGGGACTATTTAAAAAAACTGGATGGGTACAAATCCATGGGGCTGGATGGGATGCACCTGAGGGTGGTGAGGGAGTTGGCTAATGTGATTGCAGAGCCTCTGGCCATCATCTTTGAAAACCCATGGCATTTCTAAGCATTTGGAGGAGAAGAAGGTGATTAGGAACAGTCAGCATGGATCATTGTGTATGATGGATGACTGGCTCTGTGGATGTGGGGAAAGCAGTGGATATTATATACCTTGATTTTTCAGCAAGGCTGTTGATATGGTCTCCCACAACATTTTCACAAGCAAGCTATGGAAGTACGGGGTTGGATGAATAAAGTTGCATGAATGGACTGTAAGGTGGATAGAAAACTAGCCAGATCATCAGGCTCAAAGGGTAGTCATCAATGGCTCAATATCTAGGTGGCAGCCAATATCAAGTGGAGTGCCCCAGGTGTCAGTCCTGGGGCCGGTTTTGCTCAATATCTTCATCAACAATCTGGAAGATGAGCCAGTGTGCACCCTCAGAAAGCTAGCAGATGACACCAAGCTGGATGGAGTAGTAGATACTCTGGAGGGTAGAACTAGGATTCAGGGAGACCATGACAAATTAGAAGATTGAGCCAATGAAATTCAAGAAAGACAAGTGCAAAGTCCTGCACTCAGGAGAGAACAATCCCATGCACTGGTGCAGACTGAGGACCAACTGGCCAAGCAGCAGCTCTGCATTAAGGGAGGTTACAGTAGACAATAAACTGAATACCAGATAACTGTGTGCCCTTGTTATGAAGAAGGCTAACAGCATACTGGGCTTTATTTTTTACGAGTGTTGCCAGCAGATTGAGGGAAGTGTCTCTTCCCTTCTATTCAGCACTGGTGAGGCCACATCTGGAGTACTGTGTCCAGTTTTGGGTCGCCCACTACAGAAGGGATGTGGACAAGTTGGAGAGAGTCCAGCAGAGGGCAACAAAAATAGTTAGGAAACTGGGGAACTTGACTTATAAGGAGAGGCTGAGGTAATTGGCTTTTTTAGTCTGGAGAAGAAAAGATTTAGCAGGGATTTAATAACAACCTTCAACTACCTGAAGAGTGGTTCTAAAGAGGATGGAGCTAGACTGTTCTCAGTGGTGGCAGATGTCAGAACAAGGAACAATGATCTCAAGTTGCAGCAAGGGAAGGTTAGGCTAGAAATTAGGAAAAACTTTCTCATTAGGAGGGTAGGAAAGCACTGGAACAGGTTACCCAGAGAGGTTGTGGAATTTCCATCCTTGGAGTTTTTTAAGACCTTGCTAGACAAAGCCTTGGCTGGGATGATCCAGTTGAGGATAGTCCTACTGTGATCAGTGGATTGAACTATGTGACCTCCTGAGGTCCTTTCTAGTTATAATTTTTTATGATTCTTTGACATTCAGAAATATTGATGTATGATGTACTCTGTTTACTTCCTTTCTGATCTTTGTTTTTACCCCATAAGAAATATTTATTAACTAATGTGTTTCAACAGGAACTATTCTCAATGACCTCAAAGGCAAAATATGTGTCCCCAGAGAGAGATGTCCATGCATGTTTCAAGGCAAAGTCTATGCAACTGGAGAGACCTACTCTGTTCCTTGCCAAAACTGGTACTGTTTTCATCTGTTAATGCAACAGATGCATTTATTATGGAGCAATGCTAAGTTGCATTATGTTGTCCTTTTATTTCCTGTTCTTAATATTTCATTTAACTGAATATATACTTACCCTAAGCTTGAGATATGAACATCAAAAATGTTGTTCATTCACTGTAAAGAAGCTCAATCAGAACTGAACTTGATGTAATTATGACTGTGGTTGGGGGTCTTCTGCAGAGAGTGAACTCAAAACCTTAGAGTCTAAAAAAGCATAATGCTCTCTTGCTTGGTGTAAAGAACTCAACCTGTTCTCCTGGAGACAGTAACTTATTCAAATCATTCTCTGTATGATTTAGCTCAGGAATGGGTGAAATATGGCCCATAGGCTAGATCTGGCCTGCCAGACAATTTCATCTGGTCCATGGGCACCCACCAACTAATTGTACCCTGATCAGCTCACATGCCTCATTCACACCTTTGTGCATGGAAGGGTCCAGCCCAGCCAGTGCACAGTTTCTGGGCAGGTATGCTGCTGCCACTGCTTCAGCTGCTGGGGAGCTGCTTGCCTTCCCCAGTGTTCAGTGGCTTCTCCTCCTGTCCCTCCTGTAGTGCTCACTCTAGGCAGCAGTTAGGGAAGCATCAGGGGTGGGGAAGGGCTAGCTGCAGCTGGGCAGGAGCATGGGGCTGGTAGGACTGCAGAGCTAGGGCCCAGGGGAGGGAAGCAAGGAGGTCAGAGTGAAGGACAGATGAAATAAACCTAAGGTGAAGAGAATGAGTGGTGGTGGGTAGGAGATTGGAGATTGTCTAAAAGGGGGCTTAAAACAAATGGACAATCATTGTAGAACAAAGGATGTGTGTAGGGCTTCCCGTGGCATGCGTGTAGCTCTTGGCACTCATGTGCCACCAGGGGAAGCCCCATGCAATGGAGTCAGCTGCCTTTCCTGCCCCCTGCCATGCAGATCCCAGTACTCCACTGGGAAGCAGGGGGTGGAACTCCCCTCCACTTCTGGCAGAGTTCTGGGATCTTCACAGCAGGAGGTGGGGAAAGCAGCCAGCTCCATTGCATGCAGTTTCCCCGTGGGAAGCCCTTTGTGATAGAGGTAGGCTGGACTAACTGCATACCTTGCCACCATGTGCAGTGCAGACCCCTAGGCGGCAGCACCTGACCAGTCCAGGAGCACCCCGAGTGCCTACCACCTGCTGCTGTTGCTGCCTCTGGTGGTGGGGCCCGTCTTCCATGGGGGAAGTGTGTGGGAGGTCCCCCCCCAACACCCTCCCTTACACCCCACAAAACCCACACAACCACATCCTGCCCCCATGACCCCCTCACATTTATACCCATCAACATACCCTATACCCCCACACATATACAGCCACACCCCATCACAAACCTCTCCCATACACCCTCCCCACCATATGCACCTACCCCAATCATACCCCACACTCCCCCCACACATAATATATAAGGATACTGCTTTTGAGTTATTATGCAATCATCTCTATATACACTACACAGACACAAATTATGACAAAAATATTTTTTGTAATAAAATTAAAATATGTTCTAACAGGAGTTTGACTTTTAGTCTATGATTTGGGAGTTTTTTTCTGCTTCCAGGTTGGCAACCCTCCCCTCCCACAATGAGTACATTCAGGGGCAAGGGGAGGGACTTTCAGTGGCACAGATCAAGGGTTAGGGACGGGACTTCTGATCCAAGATGGCGACCAGGGGGCGGGGCATCTGTCGGGGGTGGGACTACCCTTGCTGCCCTCGACAGCTCACCAAAACTCATTTATTTTAAGGCTGTTTTGAAGCCCTTTGTTTTGATTCTATTTTGAAGTTTCGAGCTTGAAATGAGTCGAAACAGTGTCAAATTGAAACAGCCAACAAAATTTTGCATAGCCCTAGAATCCATAGTGTTAAAGGTATTTCGACCTATTGTGGTCTTTTTGAGTTGTTTGCAACAGGAAAATTGCACTATTATTTTTCTGAAGTCAAAAAACTAATAAAAAGAAAGCTGGAATTTTCAAAGGGGTGGGTGCCTCAAGTCTAAAAAGGTATAGAGCCATTGTCCTATACCCTTATGTAGCTTTTTATATTTTAACATATTTTTTCCTCCTTGCATCTTTTATAGTACCTGTACTGGAGGCCAATGGGCTTGTATATCTCTTCCCTGTGCTGGAAACTGTAATATAGAGGGAGGATTCCACATTACTACATTTGATAAGAAACAGTACATTTTTCATGGAAATTGCCATTATGTCTTAGCTAAGGTAGGAGAAAATCTCTTATTTAATTTTTCACTTTATTTAGGATCAAATGTTAAGCTAGATATAAGTTGTATGCCTCACTTTTTCAAATAGCCACTGATCTAACAAAAGTTTTAAGTGCATGTTTACCTTTAAACCACGTAAGTGATCCTGCATGATCTATGATTGTCACTGAGTATTTTCTGCCTCAACCCATTAAAAAAAAAACATATATTTTTCACATGGACTTATTGACATAGTTTTAATGGTCTTTCCTCCCTTGAGGTGATGGACAGTTATCATCAGGCAAGTATTCTTTCTTTCAAAGGCTGTATTTCAAATAGGCTGGCAGCAGAGATTGATGGAACAGGAAGTAAAGAAAGGGTAGTAGAGATGATAATGCTATTAGGAGAGAAATGTTGTAACCCTTTGCAGTTAAGGATGACACAAATAAATGTTGTGTTTTCTTATAAAGTTCTTGAAGATTGCTGCCTGTTTCTTTTCAATATGCCAGAAGATATTTCACAAGCTTATTTTTCTGATTCTATTCCAGGACACTGAGCGTACCTTTGTGGTGGTTGGAGAGATTGTTCAGTGTGGGCCATTCAGTACTATGTCTTGTTTGAAGAATTTGTTGATCCAGTTAGGAAATACTGTAAGTCATTTGCCCTGGGAGCTGTCATTTCATTCCTTTTAAATTAACAGAAATGTGAGTAATGAGAAAGGATTGTATTGTACATACACTTGTTTGGTTATCTGTAATAGATGCCTCCACTCTCCCATCAGAGTTAAAGACAGTCATTGTAACAAAGTATTTAAATAGATCAGTCAGAAGAAAGGTTTGATGCAGAAGTGTTACATTTCTTACTTCAGGCAGGGACAGCTGTTTCCCAGCCACTGGGGCTGTCTTGGTGACAGTCAGTTGATTATCAGCATCCACTGGGACAGCCCCAGGTCTGGAGACACATGCCACACACTCTATTTAAGGTACTGGACAAATGAGCCACAAGGATGTTTCTACATTAATTGCACCATAAATGTAACATCTCCCAGGGCCATGAGTTACCTAAAGCCACACTTGAGGCTTGTGACAGACCCAGGGAATGAATCAGATTCTGTTGAGCTTCAGTGTGGTACCCTGATCACAAAATTTTAAAAAAATGTTTTTTGAGCATCCATACACTCTCTTATTTCAGGAACAAATCTTTGGAGATATTGAGTGGAGTATCTGCTAAGCGCTCAGAAAGATAACTTCCTTTATAAGTAAATTCATGAAGCTTAGGGATATTGCTTATAGCATGAGTTCTCCGTTGTCCAGTATGGATGCTAACATTTCTTAATTTTGATGCAGGTCTCCCTGTTCACTCCAGCACTGTCAGGTGCTAACTGTAAGAACTGTCCCTGATGGTATCCATTTGTTAAAAACCCTCCTTTCTTTAAGCTTGCAAGTCTGGAGCCCTTCAGGTTGTGGCTGGAAACTTGCCACTTCTTCAGACATTTATTTTACATTGTGGTGTCTTCCTTTTCTTTTCTTCTTTTTCTCCTTTACAGCATATACGACTGTGTTCCTGTGGAAATGTGTATGTCAATAATCTCATTGTGATACTGCCAACAACTAGAGGTCAGTGTTCCTGCTTTGGTGTTCGTATCTGCCCCAAATTAACTTACATCTGCCTATGGCAGTACTCTTACCCCTGCATCTGAAGGATCTAGTGCAAGCTACTATTAGAGTGGGACATTGGAGCAGCTGAACCTAGGATCTAATCTAGTATGCAACTTCTACAGCCCTATTAAATGACACAGTAGATGGAGATGCATATTTGGCATAGTGAATATTCTATGTATACTAGGGGTGTGCGAAGCAGGCCCTAATCAATTTGGATTTGGCCCAAATCAGGGACCGTGATTCAGTCCGTTTATTTGGATCACGGTCCCTGATTTGATTTGGCTGAATCCGAATCTGATGATTCAATGCTGATCCGGTGAATCAGCGATTCGGACACAGGCACAGCTTTAAAAAAATTTTCTACATGCCTTAAGGTAGCAGTGCGGTTCATGATTGCTGCAGTGCTGGGGCAGATGGAGCATCCCACAGTAGCATGGGGAAGCCCTCAAGAATGCTCGGCAGTGAACCTAGAAGTGGACCAGAAATATTTCCGGTCCACTTCCAGATCTGCCGGTGGAGCATGCTAGGGGGGCTCCCTGCACCCCCCAGCATGGTGATTGGCCACAGGGGGACCTCAGGTGCCCTCCCAGACCCAGGAGGCACCAGTTGCTGAGCTGGGGGGAAGGCGGGGGCCCCCCAGCATGCTCCCCAGTGGACCCGGAAGTGCTTCTGGTCCACTTCCGGGTCTGCTGCCAGGCGTGCTAGGGAGCTCCACTGTGCATCTGAAGGACACTCCATCCGCCCCAGCACTGCAGCAATCATGAGCTCTTGCTATCTAGAGGTATGTAGAAAAAACATTTAAAGCTGTCTCCATGTCCTAATTGCTGAATTGGTCCGATTTGATTTGGAGAGATTAAAGGGTCCTCTGATTCAATTTGGATTCAGAGATTTGGCCACTGAATCGGGCTGAACCTCTGCCAAATCGAATCAGGGACTGAAGCAGATATATGCATATTTTCTTCATAAAGTGATATTCTCTTTCTTTTCTTCTTTAGATAGTATCACCATGTTCAGACCTTCCACATTCTACATCAACATCTTGACCTCTGTGGGAGTACAGATTCAAGTACAAATGAAACCCATTATGCAGCTCTTCATAAACCTAGATGACTCATACCATAATCGGACATCTGGTATGAAATTAATGCTTTTGCTATATACCTTTATTGTAATGGGACTTGTCCATCACCCTTCCTGTTCAAACTTTGACTTCAGTAAGTTCAGATACCTAGGCTTCTTAGAATAAAAATTAAAAGCTTGGCAGGATTGTCTAAACCCTTTGTTCTGCTGAATTAAATAAATTGAACTTTACAGGCCGCATCTACATGAGATGCCAACTGTACATTTGTTACTTGCATAACCAAATACTAAATGGACTGCACAGCAGTTGGCATTAACGCGCAGTAGCATCCTGGCATGGATGCCTACTGATGCTTACTGTGCAGTAGCTCATTATTACTGCACAGTAGCTTGTTACTACAGTGCAGCAGCATCGTGTGATGGATAATGCCCAGTGATGCTACTGAACAGTACTAATGAGCTACTGTGCAGTAGTAATGATCTACTGTATAGTAAGCATCTCATGTAGATGCGGCCACAGAATCCAGTATGTGTTTGTTTTGGGGATTGTGAAGGAAGGATAGTTAAGGTACTGGAGAGGGAATATGGATGAGACTTTTTGTTCTTCCAATGGATTCTCATCCTGGGAGAACCCTTAATCTCTCTATGCCTATGTTCTTCACTTGTAAAATTAGATAATATTCTGTTTCTCCAACATCTTGCCCTTTTCTTATATTGTAAAGTCTTTTGAGACAGGTACTCTCTTTGTTGTGTGCATGTACTGTGGCTGATATAATGGGACCTCAGTCTCCACTGGGATCACTAGGTATTACAGATGATGATAATTAGACTTTAAAAACAAGACATCAGCAGCCTGGTGTGAATGTTAAAACTCCTACTCAAAAGAGATGTTTGCTTTTTGAAGGGTATTGGAGAGCAAGTCTTGTTCTTGATTATTTGAAAATTGGTAGTTAATTTATATTGAGTGTGGTTTTTTTTCCTTACATAAGGTCTTTGTGGCAATTTCAATAACATCCAGACTGATGATTTTCGAACGATTAGTGGAGTTGTGGAAAATTCAGCTTCAGCCTTTGGTAACTCATGGAAGACTATGGCCAGCTGTCCTGATATCAAAGACAGCATTAAAGACCCATGTGCTAATAGTGCAGATAAAGGTAAACTTATCACCAAATTACCAGCTTTAAGTGACTTTTGTATTTCAGGTAGCTTAACCTGCTAGAAATATTTCAACCAGTTTTTCCAGTAGCGAGATCTGTCTGTCCTTGAGTCAGTGGCATAACAAGCACAGTTGGCATGCAGGGCAAGCCCTGTGGGATGGGGGAGGAGCACCCACTTTCAACAGTGGGGGTAGGGGTGTGAGGTTATGATGGGAGTGGGGTGAAGCAGTCTTGCCCATGCTAAGGACTGCTTTTGGTGTTCCTGGTACTGGTATGCTGCTGGGTGGCAGACTCTGTGGGGTCCTCAGTTCCAGGGCCTCTTCTAACTTGATGTCTAGGGTGGGTGCCCCTCTTGCCTACTCTTAGTTATGCTACTGCTTGACAGCTATTAGGACACATTAGTTTCCACTAGAAGTAGATTTAACCCAAAGGAATTATTATTACTGATTTTAAAGTCACTAGCTTTATCTTTTAAGAAGATGTCCACAAAGAAAGAAAGATGTGTCACGTTCTACCTAAACTGGCCACTGATGACTTTGAGAACATATATTAAATTACAAGATGTTAAAGACTCAAGACCAGACACAGTTGTACTTAGTAAGCACTCAAGTAGACTTAGATGCTTAATTGAGATCCTATTCCACCTTGTTCAAGTCCCTGAAAAATAGTTAATGCAAAATGTAGATAGGTCTTCCTCTTCCTCACTATTTTTTGTAACTTAGACTTGAGGTTAAGATGTTATGTTGCAAAAGTAGGTACATTGTCTATTTTTCAGGGACTCAAACCAAGTAGAATAGGTAGAGTAGGATCTGGCCCTAAAGGTACATGGTTGTTAACCCTGGGTGCATCTACACATGTGAATTTACTATGCATTAACTGAAATTACTGCACAATACAGACACGTGCATGCCTGTACTGCGCAGTAAATATGGTGACTTATGCCAATTTGAGTGTAAATTTGATACCTGCATCACATAGATATCATATTTATGACCAATTAGTTCCTGCACAGTAATGCATGTATGGATGCTTTACTATGCAGTAACACTGTGTGTGTGAACTGACTTGGGACTAACTTTAGTTCCGAGTCAGTCCGCAGTGTCAATGTGCTTTAACACATGCATGTGTAGACACCAGCCTATTCCCACTTACTGCACAGTAATTTACTGCGCAGTAAATTGAAACCAGCATAAATTCACATGTAGACACACTCACTGTGAGCCACATTTTCAGTTGGTTTACACTGGTATAGCTTAATTGATGTTAATGGAACCACACACAACAGGTCGGTCACTGAATATCTGGCCTTGTCAGCCCCTCCCTGAATTCCATACACAGCCAGAACTCCGCAACCAATAATCTCTCTGAAGTCCTGGTTGTTTTCATATGTGTCTGGACTGCAGGACCAAGCCTTTTAAATGCTACTATGTGGTATACGCTTCTGATCAGTACGCTTCTGATCTCATGGCTAGTTTGTGGTTCTTTGAGTAATGTGATTGTTCACTTATTTCACTGAACGTAATTCAATTAAATACTTAAAACAGGTTTTCACATCAGCTCTTCAAACCTAAACCCAGGTAACAATATTAGTAGTATATTAAAGTCATCACACTGGGGTATCTGTCTACTCTCTTCACCATGATTTCTGAACATCTACCATTTCCTTCTATGGTTACCTAAAATATTTTAAAATATCTTTGGTATAAGAATTTTTAGATATTTGTTAAAATCCTGCTAAGAAAATTAATGTAATTGAGGAGAAATAGAGAGCATAAGGTAACAGAAGTAACTGTGAACAATTTATCCTACTTTTCTGTTTCAGAAAAGTTTGCAAAGCACTGGTGTACGCTTCTGTCCAATACAAGCAGTGCATTTGCTTCCTGTCATTCTGTTGTAGACCCCTCTTCATACATCAAGGTGAGGCATTGCTTTAGAGTTGTGATCTACTCCAGTCCAACATTCAGTTTACCATAAAATTATTCCCATCAGAAAGGGACTGTCCACTTTATTATAATAGCTATTTATTTAAATGCATGGATGTCAATGAGAAAGTAAAAAAAAAAATGTTCATGAATACTCTGCAAGGTTTTAAGGCTCTTTTTTCCTGCAGACCTAGCGATAAATAAACTTAACAAGCCATCCCAGAGGATCTGTAATGGCATCAGTGAAAAAGCTGTTGTCTGAACAAGGAAATAAATTTGAAAAACAAGTTTTTACAAGTTATGTTAGAAACATACACTAGAACAGGGGTAGGGAAAATGTGGTCCGCAGGCTGGATCTGGCCCACCAGACAATTTCATCTGGCCTGCAGGCACCCACCAATTAATTGTAACCAGTCCAACCCATGTGCCTCACTCCCACCCTCGTGCTTAAGGACCCAGCCCAGCCAGCATGCAGCTTCCAGGCAGGGCTGCTGCTGCCACTGCCTCAGCTGCAGGAGGACCTGCTCAGCTTCCTTAGCATCCAGTGGCTTTTCCTCCCGTCTCTTCTGTACTGCTTGCTCTGGGTGGCAGGTAGGGAAGCAGCAGGGGGAGGGGGAGGGGGA